TATCTCTTTTTACTTTTTCTTCTCTTAATATTGTTGTTACCATAAAAAGGTCAAGATTGGATGAAAAATCTTCAATTCTATGGCACAAGCGATTAGGCCATATTTCTAGGCAGCGAATGGAAAGATTGATAAAGGATGGGATTCTGCAGGATCTTGACTTCTCAGACTTTGACCCTTGTGTTGACTGCATAAAAGGAAAATTGACTGCCAAGGTCAGAAACAATAAAGTTAACAGGTGCACAGAATTACTTGGGTTAATCCATACCGACATTTGTGGGCCTTTCACTCCTCTAGCTATGGGTGGTTACAAATACTTCATCACTTTTATTGACGATTTTTCCCGTTATGGTTTTGTTGAGCTCATCCGTGAGAAGTCTGATTCTTTGGAGGCCTTTAAAGCCTTCAAAGCAAAGGTAGAGCTTCAACAAGGGAAAAAGATCAAAGTGGTTCATTCTGATAAAGGTGGTGAGTATTATGGGAGATATGATGAAATGGAACGGAACTCCGGACCTTTTTCAAGGTACCTACAGGAATGTGGCGTTCATGCTCAATATACAATACCTGGTACACCTCAGCAAAATGGAGTTGCGGAAAGAAGAAATCGCACACTTCTTAACATGGTGCGATGTATGTTGGCAAACTCTTCCTTATTAGAGTTCCTATGGGGTGATGCTTTGAAAACTGCAACTTATATTTTGAATCAAATGCCTAGTAAGTCTGTTTTTAAGACTTCTTATGAGTTGTGGTCACAGAAGAAACTCATTTTGCGTCATTTTCATGTTTGGGGTTGTAAAGCAGAAGTAAGACCCTACAATCCGCAATCCAAGAAACTTGACCTTAAGTTCATCAGCGGCTACTTTATTGGTTATTGTGTAGGGTCAAGGGGATCTAGGTTCTATTATCCATTGCATACTACTAGAGTTATTGAATCAGATCGAGCAATCCATTTCGAGGATGACACTGGTACAAGCCAAGGGTTTAGAGAAATTGTGTTCAAACAATACCCAGTTATTGTCCCTGTGTCTACCGCTTCCGCTCCAACAATTGGCCCTATGGTTAATCAGCATCCAGCAACCATTCAGAATGAACCTGTTGAGGAAGTAGAACAAGAAGCTCCAGATGTAGCCATAGAAGATGCACATTTAAGGAGATCAGAAAGGGTTCGTAGACCTGCAATTTCTGATGACTACATTGTCTTCCTAGAAGAGCATGAGTATGACATTGGTAAGACTTCAGATCCAACTATCGACAAGGAAGCCATCTCTAGTCCCCAATTAAAATTTTGGATGAGTGCTATGAATGATGAGATGAACTCTATGTCACAAAATGAAGTATGGAGCTTTGTAGAATTATCAAAAGGGTGTAGACCCATTAGCTGCAAATGGGTATTCAAAACCAAGCGTGATGTCAAAGGTCAAGTGGAAAGATATAAAGCAAGGCTGGTAGCTAAGTAGGGCTTAAGCAAAAATCACAAAACTGAAAAATCGAACCGAAACCGCATTTTAGAAACCGTCGGTTTGGTGCCACGTGGACCCGATCAACGAAATGATTTTGAACCAAACCAAACCGGTCAAAATGGTTTGGTTTAGATTTGAAAATTTCAATTATGGTTTAAAACCAAACCGGACTGGCAAAAAAAAAAAAAAAAATATATATATATATA